CAAGAGAAAACCTGGCTGTCCCGACAGGCCTGGGGCTAAAGACTTCAACCCCACCCGAATAGTACGACTGTTGTGTTTTTTAACGATGTATTGTCTTTATGTGTTTAACTTGTTTTGTACTTCCCTTCCCCTGAATTGTGAGCTGCCCTGAGTCCCCCCCAGGGAAAAGGGCGGCATACAAATAAAGTTAAATCAATCAAATCAAATCAAAATCTTTGGGCAGTTTGAGATTCCTGAGTTGGCGCAGAAAGAACATTATTTGTTGTGCTTTTTTGATGATGTTTTTAATGTCAGGTGTCCATTTTAAGTCTTGAGATACGATAAAACCTAGAAATTTGAAGGTCTCTACGGTTGATACTGTGTTGTCTAGTATTGTAAGAGGTGGTAAGTATAGGAGGTTTAACTTTAAATGGTTAAAGTTGAAGTTTAGCTAAGAAATCCAAATAAAAGAAATAAATAATCATTGTTAAAGAATTGACAACTTGATTTGAAGAGAAGGCATAGCAGAAACCTCAGGAGATTGGTTGTTGATGGGAGCATTGATATGCTCAGATGATCCAGCTGATAAGTCACAAATCAAAGATCTTATTGAAACATTTGCTCTCTTAGGATCCCAGCGTTACATAGTCATGCGAGTTTCGGAAACCCACCAATCAAAAGATGGCAGCCATAAAACAGCCTCGGATCCTGATTTTGGAAAGACAGTCAAAGACCTGCCACAGTAAGAACTTCCTTTTTTTAATCATTTATAAACATTTGTACTGAATGTGACTTTGGGGTATTTTTTGCACGCCGAACCGGCAGTAATGCCAGCAGCAACCCATCCTTGGTAGGGTGACAAGCTGACACATACATATACTGCACAGGTACAGTATATAGGTGGTAACTTGCTCAATAGTAGTAACTGTGAGAGGGATCTTGGAGTCCTAGTGGACAACCATTTAAATAGGAGCCAGCCCTGTACAGCAGCTGCCAAAAAAGCCAACACAGTTCTAGGCTGCATAAACAGAGGGANCCCCGCCGTATCTGCCCCTCCCTGTTACGACCGCAATACCCCGACCCTCTCCTGTGTCTCTGGTCCCCAGCTCGCCGAGGCTTATCCCGGTCTCCATGATGGTGCGTCGTTCGCTCAGGTGGTGGTTGTCCCCAGCCCTGGCAAAGGGATCCCCGTTCAAGGAGCCGACCCGGCTCACCATCAAGACGGATGCCAGCCTGTACGGTTGGGGGGCCCATTTCCGCAATCAGCTTGCTCAGGGCAGGTGGTCCACAGCTGAAGCATCACACAGCATCAACTGGCTGGAGCTGAGAGTGGTCCAGTTGGCCCTGATTTGTTTTCAGGCTGGCATTTGGGGATGTCACGTGAAGGTGTTGACGGACAACGTCTCGACGAAGGCGCACATTAACCGCCAAGGGGGCACGCGCTCCAGATCCCTGATGTCAGAGGCCGATGACATAGGTCGGTGGGCGGAGGAGCTGTCCATACAGGCGGAGCACATCTCCGGCACGACCAACATCCAAGCGGACTGGCTGAGCAGAGCCACAGTCGACCACTCAGAGTGGCGCCTACATCCGCAGCTGTTCCAGCGCATAGTTCAGAGGTTTGGTTGCCCCCAGGTGGACCTGTTCGCCATGGCGGCCAACTCGTACCTTCCCAGACTTTTCACAAGATTTCACGACCCAAGGGCCGAAAGGGTCAACGGGAGCTGCTCTACGCCTTCCCCCCGTTACCTCTTCTTCCCTGAGTCATCCGGAAGATCCTGGCGGAGGCAGCAGTGATCCTGCTGGTGGCTCCCTTCTGGCCCAGGAGAACCTGGTTCGCTGACTTGGTGAGTCTCTCCGTCAAAGATCCATGGTGGATTCCACCGCAAGAGATCTCTCTCAGTCAGGGGGCCCTTCAACACCCAGAGCCCCAGTGGCTACAACTAGCCGTCTGGCAGTTGAGAGGGATCTCCTGAGCAAGGACAACCTTTCCACCAAGGTGATCTGTACCATCCAGGCATCACGTCGCCCTTCCATGACTCGGGTCTACGACGCTACCTGGAGGGCTTTCATCGGCTGGTGTTCTACTCATGGCGTTTTGGCTCCTTCAGCTTCGGTTCCTGTCATTCTGGACTTCCTGCAAGACGGCCTTGACAAGGGTTTGGCGCCACTTCTGCTAGGCGTATTTCTGAGCTGGCTGCCTTGTCTGTCCGTGAGGACTTGTGCCTGATTTAACAAGACAGAGTGATCCTCAGACTGGACCCATCCTTCATTCCTAAGATTAATTCCTGGTTCCACCGAGCTCAGGAGGTCATCCTCCCTGACTTCTGTTCGCATTCCAGACATCCCCGGGAGAAACACTGGCACAAGCTGGATGTATGCAGGACGCACTGCAGATACATCAAGCGTACTGCCAGTTTCCGGCGTTCTGAGTCACTCTTCATTTCCTTCCAGCTGTCATCTCAGGGCAGGAAGGTGTCTGTCTACCATTGGTGGGTGGCTTAGGGCCTGCATTGCCCTCGCTCATGTCCTGCAGCAATGTTCCCTCTAATTTTTTTTCAGTGTGAGCGGAAAAGTATAGTGT